GACAGGGGTGGTTATCAATAAGATGCTCATAAGGAAAAGGCTGTCTTGATTCTAAATATACAGTATGTTAACATTGCCATATATTTGATAATGGCAAAGCTCGTTGAACACAATGCAATCTTGCATGATCACATTCCATTTCAACTGGATGGATAAACATTTCCAGAATGACATCAGAGCACACAGCAAATGTACATAAACATATACATTTACACACATCATTGCAACCTCTATCCAATATGTTAGTGAACCCAGTGTGAAATGATACTCAACTTTGTCTGCTTAGGTCTTCATTTCCCCTTCATTGTGATTTTAGAAAAATCAGAGGTGACTTAATTGAAAATTGTAAGATCCTGAGGGCCTTAACAAGGTGTACTATGAAAAGATGTTTCCTCTTGCAGGAGAATCTAGAACTAAGGGGTCGCAGTTTTAAAATAGCGGGTTCCATTTAAGACAGAGATGAGGAAAACAATTTTCTCTCAGAGGGCTGAGTGTCTTTGGAATGCCCTTTCTCAAAAAGCAGTAGATGCAGAATCTTTAATATATTTTTTAAGGCAGGGGTGGACAGATTTTTACCAAGTAGATAAACAGTATGTTCATGTGTTCGTAAATGTAATACCTCATTCTTGCTAATGTTACAATTCTTCTTACCACGTCTTTGTGGAGCAAACCAGTCAGTCCTGTTCTCCTGAAAGTCCATTGTTTAAACTTCTTTTCTAAACAAAAATGACTGTTTCTCTCTTTTCCCTCCTCACCTTGTCACCTATTACATCACCATTCATTCCCCACCACAGTACTGTAACTTTGTCATTCCCCATTCTTACCCTCGAGCCGTCATTCTGCTGCCTTGCCACTTTCTTGAAGCCTTCCCAGGCTTAGATAAGTCTATAGATAATCTGTGCGACTCCCATCTTTTTTTGAGAAGACATTCATCACATACATTCTCACAACTACCAGGCCGTAGCAGAATAACTCCAGCTTCTCCAACCTAACATGTAGCTAAACTCCCCATCCCTGAAACTGTTCCTGTAAATGTCTTCTGCACCATCTCCAGGGCCTCAAATCCTTCCTCAAGAATAATGATCAAAACTGCTAAAAGTCCAATTGTGATTTAGGTAGAGATTGTACAGATTCAGTATAATTTGTCATTACCTCTGTTCAAGATGTCCCAGATCTCTTATGCTTTGCCAACTACTCTCTCAATAGGTCTTGCCATCTTGAAAGATCTATTCACATGCAACCCACCCACCCAACACCCCCAGCCAAGGTTCTTCTGCCCCAGCAATCTCGCTACATAATAGACTGCCATCATGCTTAATAAGTCTCTCATATCTTCACTGTTAACATCAGAAATTGCAAATCAGCATTCTGAGTAGATATTCAGTGAGACCAGTAAGACAGAAATAGCAGAACTGAGCCCCAACAACAGAATTCGCAATTTGTAGGAACAGCCCTGCTATGTTAAATAGGAAACTCGGCAGGTCTGGCAGCATCCATGGAGAGGGAAACGGATTGAACAAGCCCAACACGACTCTTCTTCAGAACTTACCTGGACTCAAAACATGAATTCTGTTTCTCTTTCCACAGATGCTACCAGACCAGCTGAGTTTCTCCAGCATTTCAGTATTCTACTTTTATTTGACAGCCCCAATACCAAACCCTGGGTAATACTGATTTCAATAATAGTTTGGAAACAGCCTTAGGGCCACCAACTATCATGGGAAGAGGGAGCACTGTACATTTTATAATTCAGTCGTGGGATGTGGGCCATGCTGGCTGGGCAGCAGCACTGAGAATGAGGTGGTGAGCTGCCTTCTTGAACCATGGCAGTCCATTTGGCAAAGATACAGCCACAGCGTCATTGGGAAAGGAGTTCCAGGATTTTGACCCAGAGACACTGAAGGAACTGCAATATATTTCCAAGTCAGGGTGGTGAGTGTTTGGAAGGAAACTTGGAGGGGTGACATTTCCAGAAATATCTGCTGCCCTTGTCCTTCTAGACGATAGTGATTGTCAAACTTAGTCAAGCTTCTTGAATATTGTTGGAGCTACACTCATTTAGGCAAGTGGAGAGTATTCAATCACAGATTTGTTTCTTGTAGATGATAGACAGGCTTTAGGGAGTCAGGAGGGGAGTTATGCTGTCAGATTTCTAGCCCTTGAGCTGAGTTAATACAGCTACTCCAACTCACTATCTGGTCAATGGTAACTCCCAGATATTGATAGTGGGAGAATTCAGTGATGGTAATGTCGGTGAATATCAAGCTGTGATGGGTAGATTCTCTCTGTTAAGGGATTGTGATAGTCTCGCACTTGTGTTGTGCAAATAGGTCTTGCCACTTGTCAGCTCAAGCCTGGACGTTGTCCAGGTCTTGCTGTAGTTGGACTTGGACTGCTTCAATATCTGGGAGTCGCGAATGGTGCTAAAATATTGGTGATTGCACAGTGAATATCCCCACTTCTGGGCTTACAATGGAAGGAAGATCACTGATGAAAGAGCTGAAGTTGGTTGGGCTCTGAAGGAATTGGAACTGAGGTGGTTGAACCACAACTATCTTCCTTTGTGCTAAGTACAACTACAACCAGCACAGTGCTTTAACTCCTCATTCCCACTGACACTAGGTTTGCTACAACTCCCGGATGCCACACTCGGTTAAATGCGGCCTTTAGGTTGAATGCAATTGTTGTCACATTACCTCTAGAGATCAGCTCTTTTGTCCACATTTGAACCAATGTTGTAATGAAGTCAGGAGCTGAGTAGCCCTAGCGGAATCCAAACTGAGCAGATTATTGCTAAGCAAATGCAGCTTGATAGCACTGTTGATGACACCTTCCATCAGTTTCCTGATGATTGATAGTGGACTGATAGGGCAGCAATTAGCTGAGTTGGATCTCTCCTGCTTTTTGATAATAGGACATACCTGGACAATTTTCCACATTGTTGGGTGGATGCCGGTGCTGTAGCTGCACTGAAACAGCTTGACTAGGGACATAGCAAATTCTGGAGAATGCATCTTCAGTACTACCATCGGGACCCATAGTTTTTGCAGTATCCAGTGCTTCTAGGTGTGTGGAAATCATGTGTAGTGAATCAAATTGGCTGCAACTTGGCATTTGAGGGGGTGGGGATCCTTAAAAGAAATATTCCAAATTCCAAATTGTTAATGTAAATTGTGAACGGCAGTATTCCTATCACTAATCTTTTGGAACACCAATATTCACCCTTTATTCCCATATTTTGCTTTCTGTGGTGAATTTTGTGTTGGTAATTCTATGCTAGTAATCTATTCAGCCTTTGATCCCCTGACTTCACATTTGCTGACTTTATTCCTTAGTCTATCAGAGAGAACTTCTCTGAAGACCTGTCGAAAATCTTGATAAGTTGCACTGACTGCAGCACCGTTATCAACCCTCTTTGTTACCTCCTCAAAAAAATTTGATCAAGCAAAAGTTTCAATTATAATAATAGTCAGCATGGATTTTAAATGCTCATTTCTAGATGCACTTATATTCTCTCCTTTAGTGTGATATTCATTATTTTTCTTATCACAGACATTACATTAACTAGTCTTTAATTCCCTGGATATGTTTATTCCTGTCCTTAAATATACATACTTTATTAGCTATCTGCCAGTCCTCTGAAACCGCACATTTTTTCCCCCCCCAAGAAATTATTTAATATGTGTGGTAAAGTACCTGCCATGTCTTTTCTGGATTATTTTTAAATGCAGAGGTGTAATCCATTCAAACTAAAGGTTTTATCCTCTTTGAGTTTGGCTAGCTTACTTAATAGATCCTTTTGTAAAATGTAAAATACCCTGATCTCAATACTCATCTTTTCATCCAATGTCTATTTCTTGTTCTCTCTCTGGCAAATACCAAAGCACAATAATTATTTTATTTCTGTCAGCTCTCTATCATTAGCTGTCATTTTATCCTGTCCATCTCTTAATAGTCTGTCCTGAACAAAGCCTCATTTGTTTTTTTAATGCGTATGTAAGTATTTTATTTGCTTTTATGTTTAGCTATGACATTGTGATGGTCTCCCTTAGATTGAAGCAAAACTATGCAATCACATTTCTTGTTTTTGTGCAGTCTTTATCTCAGTAAAATTGTATTTTAAAGTCTGAATGCACAATTTTAAACATTATGCACAGGGATGGAAGATCAGTCCTTTAAATCACTTTTGTACCACTAAAAATAACCAGTCTCTGTGCACACAAACTCCCAGCAGGTAAAATAGTTTGCAATGTTCAATTAATCAGGGAAGAAACCAGAAGATCCATTGGGAACAGCTACGTAAGTCAGACAAGACTCCTAGCTTGCTGCGGCTCAACTTATAAACGTACATCCCGAGATCAAATGTGGTGCATGGCAGGGCTCCTCAGAAATGTTACAAGCTGTTCTGTCTTGATCTCAGTCAAAGGGGTCAGGTGCTTTCACACAAGCTGAGACAAGAGTGAATAGGATAGGCTTTTACCATGGTCAATGTTAAAATACCCAGAGGTAGCTTGAAACAAAAACAATAACTGAAGAAACTCAGCAGATTTGGCAGCATCTGTGGAGAGAAAGCAGAGTCAACGTTCGGGTCCAGTTACCCTTCTTCAAAACGTTTGATACTGTTTTCAGTCTGTTTGCTTAGACTTTTTCATTTGAGGATTAGATGGTTAATCATCAACAAGGTGGCATTGTTTTGTCCTGTAAAAGTGTGCACCAGGTGCAAACAGTCTGGTTCCTTGAAAACAACCATAAAATGCAAGGTCCTACAATTAACACAGGTCTGGACTGAGAAACTGTCTCAACATGAACTATTGAATTCACTAATAGTTCAGAAGCAGCCTTTAAGCTACCAACTATCATGGAAAGAGGGAGCACTATGCTTCACTGATGGGGTGAGGAAGTATGAGGTGGGCAGCGTGCCATTGATAAAGGATGTACTATTTTACTATTCTTCTACTTTATTTTGTAGATATGACAAATTTGTTAGAAAATGTACTTACCTTCATTGCTCCCAAAGCCTGAAATATTAAGGCAATTCTTGTTGGTGTAAGGGCTGCTAGCATAACATTAAACCTCAGACCTCTGTCTGCAATGGGTGATTCATAAACTCCGTTCTCAGATACAGAACCAAACCTGTGTAAAGAAAGCAGAAAATGCATCTTCAGTACTTGCACATGTGTTATGCCTGACAAGGCTCTGGCCTTGAAGGCTTTATTAACTGAAAAATTACCATTTCAGACACAAGTGTCCCTACTCAATGTCCCTTCTCAATGCCTCTCAAATCAATGCTGTATTGCTTTTCTGTGATCTTACCTACTTCCACCACCCCATATCCTTCTCCATTGCAAGTTTGGTTTGTACACATGGCAATCTAGAAACAGAGCTGAGATTTCATGAATAAAATCCATGATGTCAGAATAATAACTACAGACACCTTTCAATTGCACAATGTTCAGCACCATTTGCAGCTCCTCAGACACTGAACCAGTCCATTTCCAAATGCAACAAGATCTGGACAATATCCAGGCTTGGGCTGACAAGTGGCAAGTGACATTCGTGCCACACAAATGCCAAGCTATGACCGTCACCAACAAGAAACAATCTAACCACCATCCCTTGATATTCAATGGTGTTACCATCACTTAATCCCCCACGAACATAATTCTGGGAGTGATCATCGATCAGAAACTCAACTGGAGTCACCACATAAGTGCAGTGGCTACAACAACAGGTCAGAGACTAAGAATACTGCAGCGAGTAACTCACCTCCTGACTCCCCAAAGCCTGTCCACCATCTACAAGGCGCAAGTCAGGAGTGTGATGGAATACTCCCCACTTGCCTGGATGAGTGCAACCCCAACAACACTCAAGCAGCTTGACACTATCCAGGACAAAGTAGCCCGCTTGACTGGCACTACATCCACAAGCATCCACTCCCTCCACCACCAACGCTCAGTAGCAGTAGTGTGTACCATCTACAAGATGACTGCAGAAATTCACCAAAGATCCTCCGACAGCACCTTCCAAACCCACGACCACTTCCATCTCGAAGGACAAGGGCATCAGACATATGGGAACACCACCACCACCAAGTTCCCCTCCAAGTCACTCACCATACTGACTTGGAAATATATCACTGTTCCTTCACTGTCGCTGGGTCAAAATCCTGGAATTCCCTCCCTAATGGCATTGTGGGTCAACCCACAGCAGGAGGACTGCAGCAGTTCAAGAAGGCAGCTCATCACCACCTTCTCAAGGGGCAACTAGGGACGGGCAAGAAATGCTGGCCCAGCCAGTGACACCCACATCCCACAAAATGAATAAATAAAAAACAATGGATTAAATACAATTGGCAGTTATACCACAAAGAAAACAAAAAGTCAGGGGACCATCCGCACCATTCAATCCTCTCCTCTGCAGCTGATGCTGTCCCATTTTACCAATCAAATCTTGGGGATGACCAACATAAGAAAAAAACTTGCTGTGAATTCAAGAAAAATCCCGAAAGATTCCTTCAAAATTACATGATATATCAAGAACATCTGAGGAAACAGGTTGCCAGAACTAATGCACAAAACTACTTCATCTTAACTCACTCAAATACGCATTGCCTTCCAACACCAGTGGCTTCTTAGTTGACTTCTGCATTCTGATACTTGCACCAGTGAACAATTCGAAGACAAGTCTCTGATGAAAGAAATACCTCCCTTCATCTACTCAGCAGTTTTCTCATGTATCTTATCCAAACTAAACTGATCCCATTTGACTGTGTTTCGCCCATATCCCTCTAAGTCTTTCCTATTCATGTGCCTGTCCAAATGCCTTTTAAATGTAACTGCACTTGCATCTACCACTTCCTCTGGCAGTTCATACCACATATGAATATCTTTCTCTCTTTACATATATCAACTTCAATCCATATAATTTATATGCTACTTGAAAGGGAAGTAGGGACCCAAAATAATGGGTCATCACAAGTTAGAAAATACAGCACAAAAATGATTCCTTCAATTAGCCAAAGCATTAAGAGCCGAGAAGTTACGCCTGAACTGCATAAAATGCTATTTAGGCCAAAGGTAGAGTATTGGGTGAGTTCTGGACACCACACTGTAGGAGGAATATGATTGCACTGGAGAGGGTGCAAAGGAGATTTACCAGGATGTTGCCTGGGCTGGAGAGTTTTAATTATGAAGAGAGATTGGAAAGACTGTAGTTGTTTTCCTTAAAGCAGAGGAGGCTGTGTGGGGACACGATTGAGATGTATAAGATTATAAGGAGCATAGATAAGATAGAGAGGAAGAAACTATTCCCCTTAGCGGAGGGATTAATGGCCATGGAGCATAGATTTAAGGTAAGAGGCAGCAGGTTTAGACACGATGTGAAGTAAAGTTTTTTCACCAAGAGGGTGGTGGGAATCAGGAACTCACTGCCTGTAAGGATGGTAGAGACAGAAACCCTCATAACATTTAAGAAATATGTAGACATACACTTGTGATGCCAAGGCACACAAGGCAATGGGTCAAGTGCTGAAGAATAGGGTTAGAACAGAAATCATAGAATCCCTGCAGTGTGGAAACAGGCCCTTCTGCCCAGCAGGTCCACACCGACCCTCAGAGCATCCCACCCAGACCCATCCCCTTATAACCCACCTAAGCTATACATCCCTGAACACTAAGGGCAATTTAGCATGGCCAATCCACATAGCCCGCATACCTTTGGAAGGAAACCAGAGCACCCAGAGGAAACCCACGCAGACACAGCGAGAATGTGCAAACTCCACACAGACAGTTGCCCGAGGGTGGAATTGAACCCAGGTCCCTGGCGAAATGGTTTATAGCTCGGTGCCTGATTTTGATTGGCACAGATTCAATGGGCTAAAAGGGCCTTATTCTGTGCTGAAGACCTCAATGTCTCTGAAGGCCAAAAGAGATTTGTTTACTCGCACAGAAGGTAATTTTTATCCCAACCTTCCTTCAACTTCAATTATCTGATTTAATTTTTTTTGGCACAATCTGATGTTAAGATGTCAATTTTTGCCGCTGTAAAAATTCTTGCCATATAATATACATCTACAGAGAAGAGGAATGAAGAAACACAAACTTGTCAAGAAGATTTTCTTTTGGAATTCGAACGTTGTCAAATACTAGAATCCCATTATCAACGCCATTTAGACCTGAGGAACAGGAAAAGGGTGGTGGGAGGAAATAAAAAGAAGAAAAAAGTTAGCATTGTACCATACCTTGGAAGTTCTCGCAGTCACTCTGGTGTAAAATAGTTTATGCCCTTCCCAAATGAATTCAAACTGCAGGCCTTTTGAAAAACAAAATGGCAAAGGAATGCAAGGTCATTCAACTTCTTGGCTACCCTACACCCAACCATAAAATGGGCAGATCTGCCAAATCTTCCTGTCAGGATCGGAAACACTGTTTCCAACCCTCATCGGATAAAAGTGTACACAGTTATCTTTCAAGGAGTTCTCTATGTGAACTTCAAGAATACAATATATTTTAACATTTCCAACAATTAAAACATAAAAGAATGAGATTCCACACCTGTAGCAGTTCATTTTCAGTGTTAGAGAGATTAATGGACGGTAATTATCACTGAACACATCAGCAAATGAATTTTCAACATCTAGTCCAGTCATAGATAAATTTAACTGGTCCTTGTATGGCTCCAAAACTCTTTTTTGTGTCACTTTTTCTGTTGTTAGCTTATTCTTATCAACTATGCCAGTACAGCAATTTCACACAATTAAGTTCAATGATGTCAGCAAGATGTCATTTTTACAAAGCCTACAGCAAGACAGTACATCTCACAGTAACGTTTGGATTCCAGCATTTAACAGCACATCTACCCCTTGTGTGATGTTATTGTCAAGATTGTGTAAGATATTAACAAGTGTTTTGGATAGCAAATTGTGGGCTGTTAATTCGGGTCCTGATTCTGCATCAAAACATTCGCCAACTCACCCTCTTTGTGCATCATGTCAATTACTGTGACTCCTGGGTACATGTTGCCTGCATCATCTCGAACAGGCACAATAAAACAGTGAGGCCCTGGGTACAAAATAAAACAAATATAAAAATGAGGTATCTTAAAAGCGGAGGTCCACGTTAATATTTTGTAAAACCGTGTTCATGCGGGAAGGAGGAAAGGAATAAGTAAAATTATAACAGATTACTTCTCCTCTGGCTGTAACATCGTTTCTACTCGAGGAATGTACCTTACACCACCAGTTTATCATAAATATAGTAACTACACATCCCATCCACCTGCAGCTGATTAGTCATTGTTCCACAGACAGTTAGTTATCGATAATAAATGAGTTGTACCTGCCAGCAACTACATGATTGGCTCCCAGATACCTGAACAGCTTATGGGTGTGAACAAGATGGAGAAGCCATTGGAACTCTAGAAAGGAAGGTGCTGTCCTTTTCTTTGCAGTAAAAATGCAAGTAAAGCCTGAAGAAAGCCAATTTATGTTCCTTAACCAGTTGCTGCAAGCTTTTGCTTTAAATGCCAAACTCAGAGACTTTAAGTTGTGAACCAGTTGCTCTATGCCTCCTTCAGGCAAGTGAAAATACCTGGAGAAGATAGAGATCGATAAACAGCAAGTCCTGCTTAGCAAAGAGAATCATCTCAGCAAAATTTGTGGACAGGGACCATTGAACTACCTTTCCAGCTTTGCACTCCATTTATAACACCAATGATTTTTTCAGTGCTTGTGTCTGTCTGCCTGTGTGTACACGGTGTTAGAGTTTTAACCAGTAGAGTTATGTGGCAACAATTCATAACTGCATTCAATTCTGGTCGCCACATTACAGGAAGGATGTGGAGGCTTTGGATAGGGTGCTGTAGAGGTTTACCAGGATGCTGCCTGCCTTAGAGGGTATAAGCTATAAGGAGAGACTGGAAAAACTCGGGCTGTTTCCTCAGGGGCGGCAGAGCCTGAGGTGAGACTTGACAGAAATTCCTAAAATTATGAAATGCATAGATAGGGTTGACAGCCAGAATCTCTTCCCCAGAGTTGAAATGTCTAAAACTAGGGGGCATGCATTTAAGGCGAGAGGGGTTACGTTCAAAGGAGATGTGAGGGGCAAGTTTTTTCACAGACAGAGTAGTAGGAGTCTGGAACACGCTGCCAGGGATGGTGGTGGAGGCAGATACAATAGGGGCATTTAAAAGACTTTTAGATAAACACGTGAAAATGCAAGGAATGGAGAGATATGGACCAAGGGCAGATAGAGGGATTAGTTTCATTTGGTGTCGTGTTTGGCACAACGTCATGGGTCAAAGGGCCCATTCCTGTGCTGTATTGTTCTACGTTCTAAGTTTACCCATAGACAGAATCTACTTGTTTGTAATATAGAGCAACCCTTGTAAAGAAATCTTGTTCTATGCTTTCTGTCAGTCCAGATCTGAAGACAGGTAAATCAATGAATTTTGTGTACTTTTACAAAATCTTTAACTTTTGTGATACATCCCGGAATACTGGAGCTTGACTTCCATTGTATTACCCCAGTGACGTGTAACAGTGCAGTAGCGGGGTGGAGAGAGCAAAATAGAATAGAACAGCAAATCAAGGTCCCACTGGTCTAGCAGGGAACCGTGCTGGCAAACACCATAAGCTGAAGACAAGGTTGCAACTCAGCCATCTCATTTCTCCAGTACATGTAGTCCTTTCAAGACTGCACAATAGAAGACACAGCCCATACATGAGCAACATCTTGAGGTTCTTGTTTAAAAATATTTTATATTTTCCTTTAAGAAATGAAAACAGTTGTGGATAAGAGAAGGCAAACCACCTTATTGACATTCATCCCTCTAAAATGCTTCACGTGACTTCTCAACATTCTAGGAGCCATCAACCGTTTGTTTTTGTTTCCAAAGAAAACACAAAGAATGAGGAAAGGTATTTCAGTCCATCAAACCCTTCCAATAAGCAGAGGTAAAACTTGCACCATCTCAAGACTCTCTTTAACTTACCAAATTCTTCATTCTTCACAGTAAATGAAATAAAATTAAAGGAAAGCATCCAGCAAGAAAATGTTGACCATTCAACATAATCAAGCAAAAGGGCATCCTTCTGGCAAGACAATATACGCATCTCAACCCTAACCAGTCACATTCTGTTGATGCGCTTTCAATGCCCTAGCAATGAAACAACCATAGTCAATTACTGACTTACTGCCTAATCTTCTACTCACATTTCCACAGATGTCAATTATTGTTATTTAAACAATGCTATAAATACACAGCAAATTCATCAGTATTTGAAAAATTGAAAGAAAAGAAGTCTTGGATAATAAGAAGTCTTGTTTTTGTTCTGGAAACACACTTGAAAGGCAAGAATTTTGAAGGAAGAAAAGGTGCTGTGGTCTCCAAATCCCCTTGGCTTTAGCGTCAGGTACCATTTTGATCAGAGAAGGTCAACTGTGGAACTAATTTTCCAACGAATTGTACATTTTCAGATAGTATATTATTTTTATGATTGTAACAATTAGTTCTTCTTGCAAAAAATAAGGTATAGTGTCTGAAAAAGGATTTTTTTTTTGTAAAATCTACAATAGAATACTGTTTGAGTGATTGTGACACTGTTGAAAACATACAAGCACCTTACAATAGAACATGTTTTCATTTTGTCATGCAGCTGAGGCAACAGAAAGCAAAGATAACTGGATAGTCACAGTAGGACACCATAATCCTCACCTTCCTACTACTTACACCTATATATTGTCTCTGTAAGGGTTCCAAACAATTTTGTGCGCTATGTTAACATAACCAAATAGTTTTGCAAACAAAAGTCTTCAGACATGTTTTCTCAGTGCAGCTGGTCAAATATGATGCAGTTCCAGGGAATAGGAGAATGACGATCTTTGGAGAAAAGGTTTAGAAATACCTGAGGATATCCCCAGCCAGCTACAGCGTTTGCAGACCATGCAGGATCTTGTTGTAGATTCTGATCCAGAAGTGCATCTCTCCACTTCTATTTTCCGAGGGAATCTCAGAAAAGTCCTTGTCTACTACGAAACAGCTACCCCACTGCACGAATGTGTTCACTGTCCAAGACAGTGCCAAAACAGTCCACACATTCTAATATCTCTCCCAGGACAAAATGGGAATATAACTATTAAATGTTAGTGGTAAAACAGGCTATCACTGCCTCTATCAGTGAGCTCTTGCCTTTTTTCAGGGAAAAGAGTCCTAGCCTGTTCACTCCTGTTACTGAGCAATTTCATATGATTACTTTGTATGTTTGCGAATTTCCTTTTCTTTTTATGTAAAAGAAGGACTAATAATATATTTACAATCATTAAGTGACATCAGATGACATGAAACTTGAGCTGGTATCTGTAAGACTGCAGAAGCATGGCATCTCCTACCAAGTCTTGTTAATAGTTACGGAAATAAAGTTTTCAGATTTGCTTAGATGAGTGTAGAGTACACCTTGCTACACAAGGTAGTCAAGGGTTAGGGGAGGCAGGTAGAGCAGTGGCATTCAGACCACACTGACCAGCCATGATCTTTTACTGAATAGTGGAGGAGGTTTGAGGGACTGAATGTTCATCTTCCTCCTGTTTTATGTTCTTACGTCAACAATTTCAACCATATTAGTAAATACAATCATTGACCACCAGAGGGTGCTGCAAGCAAGGCCATTGGTAAAGCTCACAAACAAGCTTCATCCACCAAGAATACATGTGCACAACGAGGAATGGGGGAGGCAATAATACCGTAATCCAGAGTCTCAGGCTAATATCTGGGGACATGGGCTCAACTCCTACTGGGCCAAAAGGTGAAATTTGAATTCAATAAAAATTTGGAATGAGTAAAAGCTAAACTAATGGCAAACTGCACTGTCAATTGCTGTAAAAACTAGTATGATTTACTAATGCCCTTTAGGTAAGGAAGCCTGCCATCTTTACCTGGTCTTGCCTAAATGAGACTCTAGAACAACAGCAACATGGTTGACTCTTAACTACCCTCTTGGCAATTAGGAATCAGCAATAAATGCTGGGACTAGCCGATCACACCCACGTCCCAAGAAAGAATAAATAGTTAGACAAATACTTGTGTGTTAAAATTTGTGAAAATGTTTTCTTTGCAGTACTTTTCTGTACCTTCCAAATCCACAGCCTCGACCATCTAGAAGGTCAAGAGCAGCAGATATAAGGGGACACCACCACCTGCAAGTTCCCCTCCAAGCCAGTCACCGTACTGACTTGGAAACATATCCTTTACTAGGACTGGAACTCCCTTCCGTACAGAGCTGTGTGTGTATCCACACAAGGTGGTGTACAGAAGTTCAATGAGGAGGCTCACCATCACATTCCCAAAGGCAATTAGGGATGGGCAATTAATCTTGGCTTAACCAGCAATGCCCACATCCATAGAGTAATCTATTTTTCTGCTATTACAATTTTAAACAGTTAAGTGCAGGCACTATGGACGGAATGACATTCTTCTGTCTGTGTCACTGGTTGAGTGGTCAAATTTAATAAGTAATAAGAAATGAGAAATGAGAACTGAAAAAGGCCTCACACTAAAGGCTCAGGTTGAATGTTAAATGTTCCATACTTTTGGAGGTAAATTGCAGGCTTTTTCAAGACAAAAGTAAAGCCAGCAAATTGCAATTCTAAGGCAGAACCTGAAGCTTGACTGTCATGTTAGGTAACATTTGTACCAAGCTAATTTAGCTTTTTTGTTTGCCCACTAAACTTACAAAATGTTTTGCCTTAACCAAAGCTCCAAATTTACTGTAAACGAGTGAAACAAGCTCAGCTACTAAAACGTAATTTAAAAAGTCACGTAAAGTTATTTCTTACAAGATCAAAATTTAAAATGCCTTTTTGTTGCTCACTAAGATACACGAATTTAACACTTGTTTCAAAACATAAGTTATTGAGTATTTCAGTATTATTAGTCCTGCTCTAAGTAACATGACTAGGCCTTCATTAGTGAAGGTGACACACCAGAAGCTTTATTTTTAACAATGCAGCCACATGCTAACCTTCTTCCTCTCCCAAATATAGCCAGAGCCAACCCCTTTCCTTCCAGTAAATTCATTCACACATTTACCCATTTCACCACAGAGGGTTCCAGCACAGGAGGAAGCCATTTCACTCAATATTGTTGTTGGAAACTAAATTATGCTTCTTCCTAATTTCAGTACAACTTTAGATCATCCCCTGATTCAACATGAATTGAATAAAATGACGTAATGGCCTTTGCAACAATCACTCCTTGTGGCAAATCTTTTGATATGCCAACAGTCTGCTGTGTAAAACAATCAATCATTCTCAAACCTTTCAACTGTGGACTACTAAAAGTAGAGGAAAAGACCAGACTGGCCATCTAACTCCACTGGCTTCCTTAACACTATTTTTTTGCAGAATTAATGTAAACTTGTGGAAAATAAATATTTTTCTGCCAAATGTGATAAATTTGTGCACATTATCTTTAATAAATCTAGCCCCAGAAGACCATAAGAGAAAGGTGGTGAGTTTAATATGAAGGTCACCATGCCTCAGGCAAGGTTGAGAAGGCTGGACTTTCATGGTAACCTCCGCTCACACTGTTGACGTCACCGTGCTTTGCAAATGAGCCTGCCCAGCCAACTAAGCTAATTCAGTTTTCTCTTCACAGACGCTACCAGACCTGCCGAGTTTCTTCAGCAATTTCTGTTTTTGCATGTTGCACACTTGGCTAAAACATTATTCTCAAATCATCACAATTACTTTCTTCTGAGAAATTAAAACTTAACTTGCATGTATATTAATCAAACAAAACCAGTACCAACATAAATCTTAGTATATTGTTGCTGCCCATGTTCATGACAGTTCTTGTCATGCGTGCAGCAGCTAGTCTTGTGTGTGGTATGCTCACCAGAAACATGAGATGAAGTCCTGAAGATAAGGAAACTGGATAGTGGCAGAGTAGTACAGCTTTTGACTAAAGAAAGCACTTGGCTTACGTTATACCATATCCTGTGATAACATTTGGTGTGATGTTTCGATGGCATAAACGGAATTAAATATCTGAACTGCCTGGTGAGGTACAAGCTTGCAGTTACTGATGGTTCTCCAATGTGTGATCACTTAACTGTTCTCTGTGAATAAACCAATTAGTGAACTGTAACTAATACACATCTGTAAGATAGATCACTTACTCGACTGATCTTGAATCTGTGAGTTAAATATAAAAGGATAAGAAGCAGGGACAAAAGCCCTCATTCACATCCCTTGACATCCAACAGGCAATGCTCACAGCTGAAATTAAATGAACAGCATTTGTTGAAAATAAAAAAAGTTTGATATTAGATTTATCCCGCAAAGTGGAACACCCCAATACATAGTACATCTGACACAGCAAAATCAAAGCAGTTAATGAAAAAAAGAGTTAAAATGTACAAACCTAGCAATTGTCCACTGACAATTAGTTGAGCAAATACGGCAGCGTAGTTTCCTTTCATTGCATTTCCAATATACATTTTCTCTGCATCTTCACACGGTGTGTGAATGATAAATTCCTACAAAGTGCAAGAGATTTAATTTTATTATACCACAAAATTTCTTACCTTTTCCCAATATCATGAATTTCTTGCTGGAGTATGGTTGTTGGGTACCTCTGCTACCATAGCCAATTAATAATTAAGGATCATTCCAAACCAGCTAATTCACTGCATTCTACCATGTACACAAATGCTAACTTCCCACTGGCTTGCTGGACCTTGATGGGAACAGCAGTATTATCCAATAAAAATACAGACCCAAATTATAACAATGTAATTACATTCTCTGGCTGAAACTTCATGTATACAGCACAAAAAGCAGGTAACTATCTTTGTTGCTCTATTCTGTTGTACAATGAGAATATGAGGAATTAATTTAAATGCTTTCTAATGAAATACCTGCTGAAAGCCTGTAGATTGTTAGAAATGATTACCAGCCATTGCAAGAAGTCTGCAAATCAAGCAAGGGACAGACAGGGATGTAATGGCAATGTAACTGGACTGGTAATCCAGAGGGTCTGAGGATGGGTCCAAATTCCAGCACAGAAGCTGTAAAATTGAATTCAATGTATATATCTGAAATTGAAAACTAGCTCCAGTCATGGTGACAATGAAACTATGATCAATTGTCCTAAAACCCAAAATCCTTTCAGGAAGTAAGGCTGCTAGTCTACGTGCAATCCAGACCAATGTGAGTTAATTCTTAATTGCTGTTTGAAATGGTCCAGCAAGTTCAAAACAATTAGAGATGAGCAACATTGCCAGTGACTCCCACACTGCAATAAAAGAATATGACAGCAGGTGCCTACTGCCATTAATAAAATCCAGCACAATTTGCAAAGGCACCCAACTGTCAGCCCTAAATCGGGTGGGATGTGTAGCCAGTTTTGTGGAGGCATACTCAATGACTTTTGGACTGCATAAGAAATTTTAAAAGACAACAAAGGATTCTATAGACTCTGGAACAGAGCCTGCAGATTGGAGAGTAGCTATTGTCACTCTAACATTCAAAAAGGGAGGTCGAGAGAAAACAGGGAATTATAGACCAGAAAGCCTAGCATCAGTAGTGGGGAAAATTCTTAAATCCATTATCAAGGACTTTATAGCAGAGCATTTAGAAAGCAGTGGCAAGATCAGAGTCAGCATGGATTTATGAAGGGGAAATCATGCTTGACAAATCTGTTGGAATTCTATGAAGATGTAACTAGTAGAGTTGACAAGGCAGAGCCAGTCGACGTGGTATATTTGGACTTTCAGAAAGTGTTTGACAAAGTCCCACATAAGAGATTAATGTGCAAGTTTAAAGCACATGGGATTGGGGGAAGTGTATTGAGACGGATAGAAAACTGGTTGGCAGAGAGGAAACAAAGAATAGGAATTAATGGGTCCTTTTCAAATTGGCAAGCAGTAACTAGTGGGTGCCACAGGGATCCACGATGGGACCCCAGCTATTCACAATATATATTAATGATTTGGATGAGGGAACAAAATGTAACATCTCAAAGTTTGCAGATGATACCAAGTTGCGTTGGAGGGTGAACTGTGATGAGGATGCAGAGATCCTTCAGCATGATCTTGACAGATTGGGTGAGTGTGCAAATCAAAACAAGAAGGAAAATTACCTAGAATATCATGTACGGTTTTGGTCTCTTTTTCTGAGGAAGGATGCTCTTGTTCTCAAGGGAGTGCAACAAATGTTTTGCATGTTCTGAGGAAGGGTCACTGGACCCGAAACATTAACTCTGCTTTTTCCTTCACAGATGCTGTCAGACCTGCTGAGTTTTCCAGCAACTTCGTTTTTGTTCGTGAATATTTACCAGGCTGATTCTGGAGATGGCCGGATTAACATATGAGAAGAGATTGACTAGGTTAGGATCATTTTTGCTGGAGTTCAGATGAATGAATAGAGACTTATAAAATTCTAACGGGACTAGACAGGGTAGATGCAGGGAGGATATTCCCGATGGTGGGTATGTCCAGAACCAGGGGTCACAGTATGAGGATTTGGGGTAAATGATTTAGGATGGAGATAAGGATGTATTTCTTCATCCAAAAAGTAGTGAGCCTGTGAAGTTCATTACTGCAGGAAGTGGTTGATGGCAAAACATTGAATGTATTCAAGAGGTAGCTAGATATAGCACTTGGGGTGAATGGGATCAAAGGTTATGGGGAGAAAGCAGGATTAGGCTATTGAGTTGGACGATCAGCCATGATTGTGATGAATGGCGGAGCAGGTTTGAAGGGCTGAATGGCCACCTCCTGCTCCTATGTTTCTACGTTTCTATGTAAAAAAAAGGAAGAAAATAAACTACCAAGTGAACTAATGAGTAATAAAAAAAAGTGCAAGAGCTTCTTTAAAAAGACCCGTCTTGGACCTGATGGGATGCATCCTAGGATAAGGAGTTGCTACTGAGATAGTGATGCACTGGTAGTAATCTTCCCAGAATCCTTACAGTCCCAGAGGATTGGAAAACTCCCTTATTCAAAAAGGGAGGAAGACTAAAAAAAGGTAACTTAAGGCCAATTGGCTTAACATCTGTCACTGGGAAGATGTCAGAGTCAATATAATGGATGTAATAGCAGAGTGTTTAGAATCCGTAACACAATCAAGATGATCAGCACGGCTTCATGAAAGCGAAATCATATCTGACAAATCTATTACAGTTATAGATTCATAAAGTCATATAGCATGGAAACCGACCCTTTGGTCCAACTCGTCCACGCTGACCAGGTTCCCAGACTAAACTAGTTCCAACTGCCTGTGCTTGACTCATATCCCTCCAAATCTTTCCTGTTCATGAGCTTATCCAAATGTCTTTTAAACATTGTAACTGTACCTGCATGCATCACTTGCGCTGGCAGTTCATTGCACACACTAAGCACTCTCTGTAAAAAAGTTTCCCTTCATCTCCTTTTTAAAACTTTCTTCTTTCACCTTAAAAATATACCCCTCCCCCCCAGTTTTGAATTCCTCCACCTTAGGGAAAAGACCCTAGCTAATCACCTTATCTATGGCCCTCATGATTTTATAAACCTCTGAGGTCCCCCCTCAACTCCTACGCTCTAGTGAAAAAAGTCCCGGCCTATCCTGCCTATTTTTAGAACTCAAATCCCTCATTCCTAACAACATCCTGGTAAATCTTTTCAGAACCCTCTCCAGTATGATAATATACTTCCTGTAGCAGGGTGACCAGAACTGCACACAGTACTCCAGAAGAGGTCTCACCAATGTCCTGTACAAGCTCAACATGATGTCCCAACTCCTTTACTCAAAAGGTCTGAGCAATAAAAGCAAGAGTAACAAACAGGATAGACAAAGAGGAACCAGTAGATATATTTTGATTTCCAAAAGGCATAAAGGTACCTTAAATTAGTCTACTAAATGAGATAAGAGCTTGTAGATTTGGTGATGGTAATATCAGCACAGACAGAGGATTGGCTAATTATTAGAAGAGAGACAGTGGGAATAAAGGGGACATTTTCAGAATGGCAACCTGTATCAAATGGAGTGCCACAGGGATCAGTGCTGGGCCACAAATTATTCAAAATGTATGTTAATGATGTGGATGACAGAAGTAAATACACAATCGCCAAGTTTGGGAATGACACCAAAATAGGTGGAAAAAGAAGTGCTGAGGATAATACAGAGAAATAATAACAGGTTAAGTGATGGACAAATATTGGCAGATGGAATACAATGTGAAAAGATGTGAGGTTATGCATTTTGCTAGGAAGAATTGATGAGGTGAATATTATTTAGATGGAGAATATGTGAGAAAACAGCAGCATCGTGGGATCTGGGCATCCTCGTGCATATATCACAAAAAGCTACTTTACAAGTCAATAGAACATAAAACATAGAACAAAGAGATGTTGTGCCGAACGTTTACCTGAAACCTAAGGTCTATCTAACCTCCACCCCTACCTTATACTATCATCCATATGCCTATCTAATAGCCGCTTAAATGCCCCTAATGAAGCTGACTCCACTGCCCTCTCCGGCAATTCATTCCACGCCCCTACCACTCTCTGAGTAAAGAACCTACCTCTCACGTCTCCCCTATATCTACCTCCACTCACTTTAAAACTATGTCCCCTCGTAACAGCTACCTCCACCCTAGGAAAAAGTCTCTGGCTGTCCACTCTATCTATACCTCTGATCATTTTGTACACCTCTATCAAGTCACCTCTCATCCTTCATCATTCTAAAGAGAAAAGCCCTAGCTCTCTCAACCTTTCCTCATAAGATCTTCCCTCCATTCCAGGCAACATCCTGGTAAATCTCCTCTGCACCTTTTCCAACGCTTCCACATCTTTCCTGTAATGAGGCGACCAGAACCAGACACAATACTCCAGGTGTGGCTGAACCAGGGTTTTGTATAGCTGGAGCATAACTTTATGGCTCTTGAACTCAATCCCTCTATTAATGAAAGCTAACACACCATACGCCTTCTTAACACCTCTATCCACCTGGGTGGCAGCTTTCAGGGAACTGTGGACATGAACCCCAAGATCCCTCTGCTCCTCCACACTGCCAAGAATCTTTCCGTTAACCCTGTACTCTGCTTTCAAGTTTGTCCTTCCAAAATGAATCACCTCACACTTTTCAGGGTTAAACTCCAACTGCCACTTCTCAGCCCAGCTCTGCATCCTATCAATGTCCCTTTGTAACCTAGAACAGCCGTCCGCACTATCCACAACTCGCCCCACCTTCGTATCGTCCGCCAACTTACTAATCCACCCTTCCACTCCTACATCCAAGTTCAGCAGGAAATAGAGAAGGCAAATGGATTGTTGACCATTATACTCCATTTCCTTTGAGGTAAACATTGGGAGATCTTGCTAAAATGATACAAGGCACTAATCAGACCACTGCTGGAATACTGTCTCTTTATCAGGGGAAAGATACATCTTTGGAGGCACTGGAAGCATTCACTCAGTTGATTCCAGATAGAGAGAGATTTGCTTATGAGTCATTGAGTAGATTGGGCTTATACACATTGGAGTTTAGAAGAATAAGAGAAGACTTCATTGAAATGTACAAGGTTCTTAGGAGGCTTGACAAGACAGATATGGACAGTTCTTTTCGCTTATCTAAGAGTCTAGGACTACAGGAAATAAATCTCTGAGTAAGGGGTTGCCAATTTAAGAGAGATGAGGAAGAATCTTTTCTCTTAGAGGGAAATGAATATGTGGAACTCTTTACTGCAAAGGGCTGTCAAGGCTGTATAGTAAGTATATTCCCGGCTAAAATGGACAGATTTTTAATCAGCAAAGGAAACCAAGGGTTATGGGAATAGGTGGGAAAGTGGAGTTGAGGATTACCACTTATATCTCATGGATTATAAAAAGCACGAGCAAAGATGGTTTTGGAGATAACTCACTCGAGTATCAAATTCATACCTTTTGCACTCATAACAGATTAAGCCTGGGTTGTACCAATGTATGATTAGCCAAAACATGACTTTTTTTTTCTTTCACCACAGTTTATGCAGCAATGAAGTGGAAATTGTTCAAGATTTAAATATACCACTCACAAACTTGGGCATTTAAATAACAAATAATCATTGATATAATGTACACATTGTTTCTATTTGCTTTCTAGAATGAGGTTCTTAAAAACCATTATATTTTAATTTCTGGTTGAAAGATCCTAGCATCATTCCATTGATTACCTTTGTTGTTGGGTCATATGTTGCTAGGGTCTGGATGCCTCTCACATTACTACCATGTCCACGTTCTGTCATTGCAAACATTCCAGTAAATTTTAAGTCCTACAATTTGATTAGGGAGAAACAAAAGGCATGACATGAATACACAAGAGTTGACTTCTTTTACTCATTTCCTGTTTAGCTTCAAAATGCAGTTTGCAATACATTGCTAAGGCAAAATGATTTCTATCTCTATTCGGTAACAAAGTAAGTACTTATGTATTGTGGCTTTGATACCTTGGCTGTATTGCTAACAAGTAGTCAAGCATAAAATTCTCTTTTGCATATTTAAATCCCTTTTCACCTCCAAACACTACATTTTGTTCATCTCCCCATGTTCTTTCATTCAAATGGCTACCATGTTCTCAGTCACCTGGTGTGCATGCTTTAACTCAGTGACACAGAGGAAAGAGTTATACTCACCAAGCCAGGCCTACAAACACTAATCAGTCAGGATACACTTTTAATACTATGTTGCTCTAGGCAGTCCGTTGCAAATGTGAACTGAAAAAGTTTTTGTGTCTTGTGTAATTTTGTGAACAGAGCTGTAAAACAAGATGATCCTCAAAACAAAAAAAAAACTACAAGAAGTCAGCAGCTGCTGTACAGTCAGTCAGTTATATAGTACCTTGTTTTAATTCTAACTTTCTGTGTTGAATAAAAGAACTGAAAACTTGGAAAGGAAGGCAAGCTTTAGGTGTGCCAGTGATAAGGATGAAAGAGGTTAAGCGGGACAAGGCACTTAAAACAAGATCAAGATGTGGAAAAGGAAAGAACACAAAAATTGCTGAACCAAGGAAATGTAAACAAACATGTATAAACAAACAAACAAGAAGTGCCCATCTTCTGTGGTTACATTCCTGCCCAGGTGTCCTTAGAGACGGAGTACACAGAATCCGCCAAAGCTCTCAATGCTTTTTGAAAGACGTGGGCACCGCTGGGGATTCATTGCTTTATTAACACCCCCCCAACTCCATTTTGATTTGGCCCCTTCACGTCCTCCTTACCCCTCCCTCACTTTTGATGGTTTGCATTGCCTGTAACAGGCTTTGCCTATAAATATCCAATTGGCTGCACAGGCTTTACTGGTGGCAGTTGATAGTTAAAAATAAAAGAAATACACTGTGATTTGGTGGTGGGCAAGTCATTCAGCTCTGTGTGATAACACTTCCGGACATTAAGAGAAAAAAAAAAGTAATGGACTTGATTTGTCAAATTACAAAGAAAATCATAATATATGTAAAAGTAACAGCTGAAACAGGACTTCAATTGGGTCAGGACAGGCAATTAAACCCTCCTAGATATAAATAAATTTCAATTTCACTTTCTTCTTCCTACAGATCTTCATTTTGGGTTCATTGTTCATTAATTCAGCAATTACATAAAAATTAATAATTGAATTAAAAGAAAGACAATTACCATACTACCGAGGTCTAACTTTAATTAAAATGTATTAACAATTATTCCAATGCAATAAACTAACTAGTGAGTCCCATGATTAATGCAAATTCTCAATCATTCATCAAACTGCTGTTCAATGTTCTTCTAGAGAACGGTACAGATAAGTTCAGGAACCAATTTCGTCCTGCATTTGAGGGATTGTAGACAATTCCCTGATTGCATCCAACAGTAACCATAAGTTAAGCGGTGATCCCCATTATTCATGACACTATTTTTGTCAAAAGCGTTTGTCAGCAGATTTCATCAAGAAATATTGGCTTATCAAATAACCTTTCAGCCTGAATCAATAATTTCTGTACCCTTAAAAAGAAAGTCTACTATTTTCCCCCTCAGTCCACAGTAGCAAGAGAAACGTGCCATAAGATCAAAAATGCTCTGCTCCTATGATGCTGCTTGGCCTGCTGTGTTCATCCAGCCCTGCACCTTGTTGTCTCGGATTCTCCAGCATCTGCAGTTCCTACTATCTCTAAAAGAAATTTATGCAAATTGGATCTACTCAAAAGGAGTTTACTTTTCTGAGGTAGTATCATCGCTCTTATCTCTTGGTTACCACATCAATACACCAATGAAACATATACTTTGACACCTAGATACTTGTGGTTAATAATTATTTCAATGTCCAGATCATGAATCTTCATCTTCATAGAAGCAATATTCTTAATTGGCTTTTTCCAAATGTTTATAAGTAGTATGTTTGTCCTGTTTTCATTCAGTTTAAGATAGTTATTATTGCACTATTTCATAAACTTCTCCAACAAATTCTTACGGTTTATTTCACTATTTCGTTTAAGGTCCACAAATACTGTGCCATTGACATACTTCAGGATTGCAATGTCACCATGCCCTAATCAATAACCATTCACGTAGAGGAAGAAAAGCAAAGGTAAAAGTACACAGCCCAGAGGAGATCCTGTATTCATTAACATAGGCTCCAGAAGAGTAAGACCCATTTAATAGTGATATGTAGGGTAACCCATCAGGACAGGAAAACTTGCACTTGTATAATGCCTTCGTGACTACTATTCTTCCCAAAGCACTCCACAGTTAATAATGCTCTTGTTTTGAAGTGTAATTGCTAGGATAATGTAGGAACCGTGGTAGTGTGAAAACACGTACCAATACAGTCAAGAACAGCTTCTTCCCTGCTGTTATCAGACTTATGAATGGACCTCTCATATATTACCATCTTTCTCTGCACTTTTTTTGTAGCTGTAACACGATTTTCTGCATTCTGTTCTATTACCCTGATGTACTTTTGTAGGTTATGATTTGTCTGGATAGCACACAAAACAATACTTTTCACTGTATCTTGGTACATTTGACAATAACAAATCAAATCAAATGTGACCAGATAATCTGTTTAGTCTTTCTAGAGAAATAAGATTTATATTTTAAAAGAAATGGATACTAATATTAAACCAGAGCCAATATTATAGCACAAGATTGAATAAAGAAATATTCCAAATAGATTCTCTTTGAATTAAGCAGGGCAACAACAAAAGGACCACCATGCTGGTGGACATGAATATCACCAGGTGTACAACATAAAGTTATGAATGAAGCTTGTGGACAAACCGGAGAGATACCTAGAAGCACGGTTGTGAAAGTAGGAGATTTCAATTATCCAAAAATATTCCAGGACTAGGAAAATGTATGTGTGTGTTCAGAACTGTATTTCCCATCAATATCTTTCAAACCTAAAAAGTACATTAAAGGATCATATGACTCATTTCTGGGTAAAATGAAAGATGATCAAAATGTACATGAACATTTTGGAAAGCTATTGCAGTATAAATGGATTCAGTAGGATAAAAGGAAATATGGCAAATCTAAGAGCAATGCAACAGGATAGTAAAATAAATTAACTTATTTTGAAATAAGTGGCCTTTGCTGCATTAAACAATGGAATTAATTTTTATTTGTTCAGGTGATACGGATGTCACTGGCTATGCTAGCATTTATCACAGATCCATAATTACCCAGAAGCCATTTAGGCGTCCACCACATTGCTTTGGATCTGGAGTCATATATAGACCAGATCAGATAAGAATGGCAGATTTCCCCCACTAAAGGACATTAGCAAACCAGATGGAATTTTATGTCAATCAACAATAGTTACATGTCACCATTAGGCCAGCTTTTTATTCAAGTTCACCCATCTATCATGGTGGGTTCAATCTTATGCCCCCAGAACATTCTGGAAAGCTAGTCCAGTGAAATGCCCACTATGCCACTGACTCCCCAAATCTGCCTCTAGATCAACAATTGAAAAAACCTTTTTAGGATGGACGAGTCTAAAACTAGAGTGCACAGGAGTAAGATGATATGAGAAAGATTTTAAAAGGATTTAAGGGGCAATGTTTTCATGCAGAGGGTGGTGTGTGTATGGAACAAGCTGCCAGAGAAAGTAGTGGAGGCTGGTACAATAACAACATCTAAAAGGCATCTGGATGGGTACATGAATAGGAAGGGTTTAGAACGATATGGGTCAAATGCTGGAAAATGGGACAGGAATAATATAGGATATCTTATCGGCATGGACAAGTGGACAAAGGGTCTGTTTCTGTGCTGTACAACTCTATGACTCCATGACTCTAATAAATAAATGGGTAGAAATCTAGGAGCTAGTTGCATCATAAATATCTGATGCATACAAGGTTTTGGAATAGTGAATTTTGAAAAACTGAACTGGTCAGCAAAAATTGGTTGTATGAAATATATAATAGTGTAGTTTTGTTTAAGTATATAGCATCACTTACCTTTAGGGGTTGAAACCACTTTTCAATGTGTTCTTGGCTTCCAAGGTTGATTATTGCCCCACCAAACAACCAACAGACCACACCCATCTGCAGGACAGGAACAGGAAGAGAAGCAAGGTTGACACAATTAGACGCATTTTCAGCACTGATGGTTTCCTGATTAAGTTTGCAATACAGGCCAAATAGGCAATTGATTCACATTGCCAGAAGTTCCAGAACCACAAATTCCCAAAGCTGCAATCAATGTTGAGTGAGGAGCGAAGGGGATGATAGAGCGATAAAAATGGGAATTTGGAATGGCGTTCATGTTCATTTAGTGCAATTGATCATTTTCTCCTCAAGTCTACCTTCTCAACTTAGGTTTAATAAATTCTCATAAATTTCATCCATGCCACTTTTGGGTCAACCAGCAAGATAAAGACTATTTCGGAGTTAACAAGCTCAATTTCTGTTTTTTCCTTCAATATCTCAAGTTACTGGTGTGATATACTGAGGTCTGAAAAAGAAATGAAAAGCTACCTAGATAAATGGAATAAGTGAATACTGGTTGAGAGCATAGATTTACTGAATAAGAAAGTATCTAAGTCTTTAATTTGTACAAACCAAGTTTAGTCTACTTAGATTGTAATTTATAGTTGGCATTTAAGTTGAAATCTAAAATTTAAAATTCTGAAGTTGCAAGATTTGAGTAGGTTTGTTTTCAAAGGGTGCAGTGAAACAGCAGCCTTATTAAGAACTAGCTGGATTCTCATTATCCAACTCAGGTAGGGTCTTTGTGTTGGGTTCATATCTTAATAGGCAACTTAGTGCACTCTTGTGAGAGTGACTTACAATGAAATGATGGAGGTGAGCATCTCAAAGAGTTTCATGGAGGAAGAAGAGATACTTAGTTATCTTTGCCTAAACAAATCAGTTGATTAGCAAATAGGATTGATCGGTACTTCTAGTTTTCAATGTAAAAATAAGGTCTTCAGTTTGTGTTTAGGTCTCTAAATTGATATGAGTAAATATAGAGTTAAGAAGGGGCATTTTTCAAGTGTAAACAGCAGGGATACTAACGTAATTTAATTAATAACTGAAATAAAATATAATAGAGATAGCAGGTTAGGTGAAATGCTGCAGCACATGGGAGCTGTTGGACACCTAGGCTATCCACAGGAAACACATCTGTATCAGGGGCTGTATCATACAATTTTGATGCAGACAGGTTGCTTCACTTTGTGGGAGAGTCTAGGGCCAGGGGGCATAATCTCAAGTAAGGGATCACCCATTTAAGACAGAGATGAGGAAGATGTTTTTCTCTTAGTGGGTAGTGAATCTGTGGAATTCTTTATCACAGAGGGACATCAAGGCTGGGTCATTAAGTTTATGCAAGGCTGAGATAGACAGATTTTTAAATAGTGGGGGAAATTGAGGGTTCTAGGGAAAAGGCAGGAGTGTTGGGGAGCATCACATCAACCATGTTCTCACTGACTTGCATAACAGCCTTGACGGTTGAATGCTTCTGCTCCTACATCTTCTGGTCTTATACTGTCTGTCTCCTATAAGCCAGCCAATCTGCTTCTTCATTCAATGTGCCTATACCATGAGCTCTTATTTTCTGCAATTACCTTGCTTGTGGTGCCTTACCAAATGGCTTCTGGAACTAAAAATAGTAAATGCTGGAAAAGCATGGCAGGTCTGGCAACATAGTAGTGGAAGAAACAGAATTAACGATTTAAGTCTAATATGTCTCTTCTTGTGTCCCAAGTCCCTCCTGAGCCCAAGAATGACAGTTTTGATTTTCCCACTGTTTCTTGAAACTTATCTAAGTATGTCGGGTCACATTTTAACTCTAAGTGAATGGATTTTAATTGAGTCAAAAGCTCACCCATCCTGCAGTTGGTAACTCCTGTAACTTGACTTCCTGCAGGGAAGAAAACTTCAGTGCCAGTGCTTATTTTGAGAGAAAATTCTAATTTGAACAAAATATTATCATAGAAACATGGAAACGAGGAGCAGGAACAGGCCATCATAGTAAATGGAGTGCTTTCTGGGTTTACAGTATCTAAGCATTATTTTGGCTATAAAACTGATTGCCATTATGCACTTTGCAAATTTGTCAGTTATCCGTACAGTGTTTGACCCTTTTTTATGCAATGATAAATTATATTGACTGGAAAGTACAGCGCTCATTCTGGTGTTCTTGACCTCATGCTTGAATTACTGTTCAGTTACATTGTCCACACTGAAAACTATTCAAGGCCTTCATTTGTTTTACTTAGGAAGTTGTTGATTGTTCCAGAATGCTGTGGATTATCTCAACTGCTGTGGTGAAATTTGTATCAGCTGTGAAAATATGAACAAAGTCTTCAGAGCAGATTACTGGACATATAATGGCATGAAATGTCCTAAGTGAGATGGAATCACAATTTTATTTAAGCTTTTTAGTTACCCATCCTTAATTGATGACAGGCTGTGGAGATCCTCAATGGACTTTCTAGCACTGAACTTCATCAAATTGGTGACAAGAAGAGGGGAATAAATATCTTGCCAGAGCTAAACTTATCCAATTAATTTCTCTTGTCACCATCCATTTCACCAACACCAAGAAGAGGAAACCTCTGCCTTTGAAGTACTCTACATGGTCCTGGTCACCATATTATAAAAAGGATACACGAGTACCCAAGCATACAGATGATATTTACAAGGATGATATCAGTAAAGCAAGGGCAAACATTATCGGAAAAGGGTTCACAGACTGGGTCTCTTTTCTATTAATGAAAAGACTGAGGGCCTACCTAATCAAGTTATTCAAAATAATGAACGGTTTTGATTGATTAGATTTACAGAGAACGTTTCTTCTTCTGGAGAATAATCCAACTGGAGGTCAATGTAAGATGGCCACCAAAACGTCCAATAGGAAATTCAAAACTAACTTCTGGGCGGCACGGTGGCTCAGTGGTTAGCTCTGCTGCCTCACAGCGCCAGGGACCCTGGTTTGATTCCAGTGTCTGTGTGGAGTTTGCACATTCTCCCTCTGTCTGCATGGATTTCCTCCGGGTGCTCCGGTTTCCTCCCACAATCCAAAGACGTGCAGGTTAGGTGAATTGGCCATGCTAAATTGCCCTAGATTAGGTGGGTTATAGGGGGATGAGTCTGCGTGGGATGCTCTGAGGTTCGGTGTGGACTTGTTGGGCCGAAGGGCCTGTCTCCACACTGTAGGGATTCTATGATTCTGCTGCAAAAGAGTGGTGAGAACGTGAAACTCGTTTAAACAAGTAGTAGTTGAAGCAAACAGCTATATTTAAGGAGAAGCTAAATAAGTACAAAAGGGAGAAGGGTACAGGGGATTATGATGACAGACTAATGTGAAGAATGATGGGATGTTGAGGCTCAAGTGAAGTATAACTGCTGGCACAGACTGTCTTGGGGAAGTGGCCTGTTTCATTGTTAGATGTCCTACATATCCTATGATGCTGCACCAAAGAAGCATATTTGTGCCAGCTGTTTGTAAGAAATATACAATTAGTCCCTCTCCCCTACTCTTTCCCCAAAAGCCAGGTATCATTTTTCTCCTTTAAGGATTCACTCCGTTCTCTTCTGAACTGTATTCTTGAATCTACTTGAGTCTTCCTTTCAGACAATATATCCCAAATTGTAATCTTCCTATTGACTCTCTCCAAATTCTTTAGAATTTTGAATAATTTGATTAAATCCCTCTTAACTGTTTCTACTCTAAAGTGAAAAACCCCAGGCTCTCCATACAACTGAAGTTTCCCAAAAGCTGTTACTATTCATAAAATTTCTCTAAAGCACACTCTTTTAGACTGTGATATCCTTTCTTCTTGATGAGGTCCTCAAAACTCCATCTCCAAAGTAGACAGCCATCGGTCAAAAATTAATCTCGGGATTGTAAAGAAAAAAATGCCTTGACCAGATATTTATCCCTACAAGCTTTGCCCATTCCTCATCTCTTGCAGCTGCTCCAGAGTAATCTTTTCTCCCCACTTCCCTCCCCCAGTTGCCACCTGATCTTTTTCATCACTCCCATCATTAAACACATATCTTTTTTCCTATTCAAGCCAATGCAACTTGCAACTTAGATTTGTTCTTTAAACAAATTATGAAACTTCCACTAAGCTAGGACTTTCAATACATATTAGGAAATATGTAATGCACAATTACTCTTATTTCATTTGTTTTAAATATAGACTAGATATTACAGAAATTAGTCATTTATTCCAATACATCAATGCCAGTGTTTACATTTTACATGAGCCTCCTCCCCTCTCTTCATCTATTCCCAAGAGCATAAACTTTGATTCCTTTCTCACTCATGTTTTTGTCTAGTTTTCCTTTAAAGCTACAGTGCTATTCTCCTCAAGCTCTGAAGGTCACCAAAACAGAATTCTAACCAAGTTGTTTTGCAAAGTTTTCCGATTAATCTTTACCTTTACTCCAGTCGTGAGGTCAGCTGTAGAAAGTACCTCTCCAATTGCCAGACTTTTATTGACACAGTGCTTTTTCTTTTCTATCTAAAAGAGGCAACATGAATTCATTTTTAAAAAAATCAAATACCATAGATCCCACAGAATAAATTCATGTTTTCAAAGTAGGTGGGTGAGTGAGGACTAGAGAAGGCCCCACTTGGCATCTAGTTATCATATAATATAAATGGAGGCTTAAAAGGTAATCACACTCTCAACCTTTGGGTCAGAAAGATCCAGGCACTTACAATAGGGGACAATGTTCAAGGTTAGGATAAACAACCTTTTAAAAGGGTGGCACAGTAACTCAGTGGTTAGCACTGCTGCCTCACAGTGCCAGGGACCCAGGTTCAATTCCAGCCTCGGGTGACTGTCTGTGTGGAGTTTTGCACATTCTTCCCATATCTGCGTGGGTTTCCTCCGGGTGCTCAGGTCTCTTCCCACAATCCAAAGATGTGCAGGTTAAGTGGATTGGCTGTAATAAGTTGCCCATAGTGTCTAGGGTGGGAAATGCAGGGATAGGGTGGGGTGTGGGTCTGGGTGGGATGCTGTTCGGAGGGTCCGTGTGGACTCAATGGGCCAAATGGCCCGCTTCCATACTGTGGGGATTCTAAGATTCTCAAAAACAAAATATCTAAGCACAAGTTTTCAGCTACAGATCATTCTGCCTAGTACATTATAATCTAAACTAAGATTTCATGTAGAACAGTCCCAGGTGCTTCACAGCTAACCAATGATCTTCAAATCACGTCAATATTGTCACTTTGGCCAGGTTATGCACAGTAATATCCAATCCATATCTGATGATACTGTTTGAGGGTAGTGTTGATTGGGACATCAGATGAACCCTCTGCTTTTTTTTAATGTTTACACTGAGCTATAGTGCAGTTTTGATCATGTACTTATGTCCTGGATTTGGCAAGGAGAAAATGGCCTTTTCATTTAAAGGTGAGTACTTTCACTGAGTCAAGGTAACAACTGAAGAGCATCAACTTAACTTCCATACATTTGAATTCGACACCTTGCAGTTATATCACCCACCATTCCTTTAGCTTTGCTTACGGCTCCACCAGGACATAGAAACTGATACATTTTTGCTCTTCCAGCCTTAGACTGTTCCATCTTAATTCAGTCCTATTTATCTCATATGCTTTTGTCCCAAAATTTGAGCTGTGATGTAACCTCCATGGCTCAGAAATAAAATCAACTTGTTACATTTCTGTCCAATTGCAGTGCTAATCTAAATCATCTTGTAAATCCTTTTCTCTGCCTTTTTGTCACCACACTTTGAATGTTGTCAATGAGGTACAGTTTCTAATCAAAACCTAACTATAATCCAGAATCCCACATGCCATTAACTTTTTTGCTGTTTACAAGTTTGTGTTATCAGCTGTACATTTGCAAGCCATGATCTTTCTATTACCATGTTCTCCTACTCAAAGTACTCACTATTGAATTTTGCACATTTTTCAACATTAATCACTTTGGAACTACAGGAAGCATGTTAGGTATCTTAGGTAAACTTGGTCTCACAAGCAGAAATTGAATATCAGTAAATAACATTTATTTTTACTGATGCTAATTAAGGAACCTATATCAGCCAAGGCACTGGAAGACAGAACTCCTGCTCTTCTCTAATGCCAAGCATCTTTGGCATTCACCAAAGGGGTCAGGATGGGACCTCAGCTTAACATCTTGTCCAAAAAGCCAGCACTTTAAACACGAAGCATTTCCTCAGTATTGCACAAATGTCTGTGCAATGTCTGTCAAAACTATGGGAACAGACCATGGAGGACAATTACATATCCATCTCTACTCAGTTTAAGACCGTATCCTACTGGAGAGGGGTACTTTATATTTGGGCATTGTGTGACTGATCAAGGGACCTAACATTTGACTCTGTTTCCTCTATTTCACCTGCCAAAAACCTCCTTCTTGGTACCCCTACCCCATTCCATTTAGCTCTCTCCAGGAATTTACCTGGGATCCCTGTAGAGGCCCCATTGTAGTACTGGCAGTGACCGTTTCTGGTGGCACTCCCAGTACAGAAGTGCTGCCAGCTGCTGATTGGCCAACAGGCTTTCCATCTTGCACCAGGCTTCATTTAATGCAAGGCCGGACCCAAGGCAGGCACCTGATTTTTACTACTTTCTTCCGGCCTCGCAAAATGGGTTCCGACCAGTGGATGTGAACCCCACCTTAAAGCATTTAATTCTACTCAATGTTCATTCTATTTGCCTAGATGAATAGGATTGATTTTTTTCAAGTAAATACCTGTTCTTCCAACTGTTGCTGAACGATTGGTAACTTTATGACAAACTTGACTCGCTCAGAAGACAAATCCCGCATCTCTTCCAGACTCAGATCATACCTAAATAAAAATTGATTACCGAAATCAAAGTTTTTTAATCACCGAATATTATCGTCCCCATGCACAATTTCTCAAACAATTAGCGTACTTCACACCTACAATTCTAATGTATCTTAAATAATTATTGAAAGCATGAGAAAATTAGAGCTCAATATCAGCGAACACTTGCACATGAGAGGCATAAAATAATTGTATCAGTCAAAGCTATCATCTGTTTATCCTTTTATATTCCGATACGCAACTTACATTCATCTTACATGAGTAACGTCGTAAAAGTTGCCAAGGGACTATATAGGAGGGTCAAATACTGACACCAAGGCACATGGCAATATTAGGCTGGTGACCAAGCATTGATCTGAAAGCAGGCTTTTACAAAACAATCTACTGGAGACAGAAAAGTAGAAAGTCACAGCAATTAGGGAGGGATCTCCTGGGCCTGTGGTCTATTCAACTTCAGGCATGACCACTAAAGCAAAGAAAAAAAAGAGGATGCATAAATGTGCATTGGAATAGCACTGATATCTTTAAGAATTGACAGATTACAGAAATAGGAAAAGAAACAGCCAAAGAGGCAGTTGAACCCAAGGGAATTTTAAAATCCAGATTGTCAAACCAAGAGCCAAAGGAACCCAGGGCTGAGTTAGGACTTTGACAGCAGAGCTTTGGATGAGCTGAATACAGACATAGAAGATTACAAAGGATATAAAGAGTGAGAATCTAGCCAGGAAAGCAGTTGAATAGTCAGATTTGAACAGAATAAAGGCACAATGACAGTGGATGAGCTAAAGCAGGGCCTGAGGTGGAGATGTTATAAAGTTGAGGTAGGTAAGCTTGATAATGGAGACAATATGACAGCTTACGGTCAAATAAAGCACTAAAGTTGTGAACTGTCTGGTTAAACCTTGGACAGTAACTAAGGAGAAGGATGAATTCAGTGGTTAGAGAACAAGGTTTGTAGTGGGGATGACTGTTCTGTCTGAGCAGCACAGCCACTCCATCAAGTGCAGCACACTTAATTAGTGCAGCCATGCAATTTTTGATGGTTTGGTGAGGTCTACTGCCACTCTATCACATAAGCAAAGAATAGATAGACTTCAAAGACAGGAAATAGTTGGATGAAAGTCAGACCTGACAAGATAGTTCAGATGAAATAGTAGTCAAAATTTACCCATGTCAGTAACAGGAGCCAAAGCTATCTAAACCCAGGGATGGAAATATTATTGCTAGCGATGGTGGGAAGGAGAACAATAGCTTTAATCTTCCCAGTAAGAACTGGGAGGATGTTTCTGCTCATCCACTACTGGGTGTCATAATCAGAAACAATGGCGGGGCTAAGTGAAATGACAATGAGGAGAGCAGCGTGTTGTCCGTGTACATGTGGAATCAGGTGGTGTGTTTTAGAATGACACCAAAAGGCAGAATACAGGTGAGAAAATAGCAGGGCACCAAGGGTGTTTCCTTTTAAAACTCTAGAAGTAATGACTCCCTAATGGAATGCAATTAAGAGTCAGCCTCTGCGCTGTGGCTCTGGAGTCACATATAGGCAAATTTCCTTCCTTTAAAAAAGAGTATTAGTGATCCAGATGAGTTTTTACAACAATAACCTCTACTGAGATTAGTTTTCAATTCCACGTTTTATTAACTGAATTTAAATTCCACCAGCTGCCATGGTGAGCCTCGAATCTATGACCCTAGAACATAATCTGGGCCTCTAGATTAGTAGTCCAGTGACATTATGACTACACCATCATTTTCCTTTAAGGAATACCAGGATGCAGGAATATGTTCAAATCACTTGTCTAGTAATGAAATAGATTTTTATTTCAACAGCGTGGATGGAAATCCTGCAGGATATATAGAATCCCTACAGTGCAGAAAGAGGCCATTCAGACCATAATGACACTCCAAAAAGCATCCCACCCAGATCAAGTCCCCTTATCCCTGTAACCACACATATACCCTGGCTAATCCACTTACCCTGCCATCTCTAGACACTATGGGGCAAATTACCAAGGCCATTCCACCTAACCTGCATGTCTTTTGACTGTGGCAGGAAACCTGACCACACAGTGGAAACCCACATAGACACAGGGAGGACATGAAAACTCCATACAGTTAGTCATCCAAGGCTGGACTCAAACCCAGGTACCTGGTGCTGTGAGGCAGCAGCGCTAACCACTGAGCCACCATGCCACTCAGGAGGCATACTGGACACATTTTATTAACTAACTTGATTTTAAATTCCATTACCTACATGTATTTTTTAAAACTTCTTTATTGCAATAAACACATTGAGGTGCCTTGCAAGGGCTATTATGAAATAAAGTTGACACATATTAGGATAATTGGCCAAAAGCTGTGTCAAAGTGGTAGGTTTTATTAAGTGTCTTAAAGGAAGAAAATAAATCGTAAAGAGACAGATGGGTTTAGAGAAGGAATTCTAAAACATAGGATTTAGACAGCTGGAGGCACAAACAAACAGCAATGGAAGTTGGGAATGTTCAAGAGGCCAGAACCAAAGAACACAGTTAATGTCAGAGGGTTGTGGGGGTTAACAATGTTAAGGAGGATTAAACAATACAGGAACTTGAACACAAGAATGAGAATTTTACATTTGAGGCATACAAAGAGGATTAGGTCCCTCGAGCTTGTTTTGCCCTTCAATTAGCTCAGGACTGATCTGATACCTAATTCCACGTTACTGTCATTGTCCCAGATTCCTTAACATTTTGGATAAAATACCATCAATTTCAGATAATGATTTTTTAATTTTAAATCCATTATCAGATGATGGGAGACATCCAAATTTCCATGATGATTTGCTTTTAGAATTTTTTCCTATTTTCACTCCTAAAAGATTTGGGTCTAACCTTTAGATATTGCCCCTGGCAGCCAATATGTAAACACAAGGGTGATCGATACAAGTTAGGGTATCAGCAGCAACTATGCAATCCACTTTGTTAGACCACCATTCTGGCACAAAGATCAATACTAACGTAACCGACTCCATGTCTGATATTCTTAAAAGACACGGATTTACACAGGTTCTGCTCATATCTCAGAAATATCTCAATAACCTTCAAACATAACAAATGGTTTTATTTGATACAGATCAGCTGAGGTAACTCCTGCTTCCCTGATATGAATGTTTGCTGCTCCTGCTCTGATTCTCTGCAGCTAAGAAATCTATTGTCACAGAATATTAAACCCAGTTGCAAATCCACAAGATAACTTTCTATTGTCTGGAATGAAGTAACTGATCAATACTCAGGGCATCAATACTGACAGTGGTTAAGACAGACAAGTTGTCAATACTAATTTCAAGACCCTCCAGGAACTATGCAACAAGCTTTCTACTTAAAAATCAAAGTCAGACTTGTAAAGTCAGCACAGATATGCACACAATGCCAGGCAAAACTGCCCAATAGTTCTGGAAGAATTCTGAATTTAGCATCAAAACATACTCAGTGGTCCATCTTATTAAGAGGCAAAAAAAAAACTGCAGTTGCTGGAATCCAAGGTAGACAAACAGGAGGCTGGAAGAACATAGCAAGCCAGGCAGCATCTGGAGAAAGGAGCAGTCAACGTTTTATAGTATCTCCGGAAGAACTATTATACCCGAAACATTGACTGCTCCTTTCCTCCAGATGCTGCCTGGCTTGCTGTGTTCTTCTAGCATCCTGTTTGTCCATCTTATTAATACCGTTTCAACGAACAGTATTCCGATAGGCATCCGGTTAGCTAGTCTGGAAAAGGGGTCTCCTATGAGACATTTCTTTGGGATCCTGAATGACGCTACATTAATGTCGAGTTATTTACAGTTTCCAAGTTCAGAGATTCAAGGGGCCTTCATCTTTAATCGAAGTATTCCCTATGACATGTTTTAGAATTTTAAAAAGTGATTTCAGCAAACTTCCCAACATCTTACGCGTCCATAAAAATGAGCAAAACAGGATATGGGATTGAAACAGCAGCAGGAAAGGCAAGGGGGAGGGGAGGATGGTCTCTAACGTCACGTAACAGTTCTCCGAGATACTCCATTCAAAAGATTTTAAAGCCAACGTAACCCGGAAAAGGGGTTCTGTCAGTTCACGCGGCCCGTCTAGTCCTTGTCCAGTCTCGACGTTTGCGCCGGCTACCTGTGCTGGGTGAACAGCTGGCTCTGGGCTGTTTGCTGACGGAGCTCGTTCTTCAGCTTCCAGTGTTGCCCGTCCAGGTACCTGGCCAGCGAGGTATCCCTGATGCCGAGTCTGCCCCGCACAGAATCCTCCTCTTCCCCCTCTTGCTGCTGCAGCTGATGATCCTTCGGCATGATTTCTCAGTCTGTAGTCTATTATCCTCCTCCAAATCGATACCTTATCCCAGGCGACAATGTATCCCTTTTTTTCCGCTCTGGTTACTTCTCGCGCATGGCACAGGCTGGGCTCGCGCTGCAGGAGCCGCGTCAGCGCGCGACGCGGAAGGCGGAGCGCCGCTGCTGCAGGTACCAGGAGCAACCCCACTGTCTTGTTTCCAACAGGTTATCCAATCTACCTTCAATGCAATAAGCATTTTTAAGCACTGCTTTTTTCTCTCTTTTTCCCCTAAAATAAAAATTGGATCTTAAAACGACGGAGTTTTGTTTTGTATTGCAAATCTGACGTTATACTTAAAATGTACCGTTAAATAACACTCAAACCAAAACTAAACTGAGGTTGCTCAGTTGGTAACAACTTCTGATCCTATTAACTTAGTCACGCTGGTAAATATTGTTCAGGATTGCAGATAGATACAAATCGTGAACTAAGGGGAAGTGATGGCTTAGTGGTATTATGGCTAGACTATTAATCCAGAGGCCCAGGTAATGTTCTGAGGAACAAAAACCGAAATTGATGGGAAAATTCAGCAGGTCTGGCATCATCTGTGGAGAGAAAGCCGAGACAACATTTCAAATCCAGTTACCATTCTTCAGAACGGTTTCTGAGTTTCTCCAGCAATTTGTTTTTGTTTCAGACTTTCAGCATCTGCAATTTTTTTTTGTTTTATGTTCTGGGGGCTGGGTTCAAATCCTGGCATGGCAGATGGTAGAATTTGAATTCAACTAAAAACCAATTAATAGTGATCCCTTTGTTGGGGGAAAACCCCATGTGGTTCACTGGGGAACCTCGAGGGAAGGAAACTTCTGCCCTTACCTGGCCTGGCCTACATGTGATTTCAGACCCACAGACACTTAACTTCCCTTTGGGCAATTAGGGATTTTCAATAAACATTGGTCTGCCCAGCGATGCCCTCAGCCTATGAATGAATAAACGATTGATTGTCTCCTCTGTAGGTGCCAAATGACTTTGTTTGCGTATTCAGTTTCTAAAAAAAGAGTCTGATTTCATTTTTTATTTTAGATGACAAGGTGTAGAGCTGGCTGAACATAGCAGGCCAAGCAGCATCAGAGGAGCAGGAAAACTGACGTTTCGGGTCTAGACCCTTCTTCAGAAATGCTCCTCTGATGCTACTTGGCCTGCTGTGTTCATCCAGCTCTACACCTTGTTATTTTAGATTCTCACTGTCTCTGAATCCCTTTTTATTTTGGCTGTTTTACTGAACCATTTAATTGTTCTTATAAAGAACATATTTTAACAGTAACTTTTAGCTCCTTTGAAGGAAAACATCCCAGCCTGCTTGACAGAAGTAAAATCAATGAAAAATTAATGCTGAGAAAGGGTAAGTTTTTGGGACAGATGAACAAATTGGGGGAGGGGATGACAAAGAGGAAGTATTAAAGGAGGAGTAGGATTGCCAATTCTCCAGGATTGCAATAGCATCTTCAGGAATTAAAAATTAACCTCTAGGACTCTGCTAAAAAGGAATAGAGAAACATTATAAGTATTTGCAGAAATATGCTGTGTCACCGCTGGCTTGCCATTGTGATGTAACCTCTACCTCTGTTGTAATTATCTTTGTGTGTAGTCTGTAGCTGCCATTAAACATACAGCATTTAGAATATAGTGTAAAGGTGGAGTAGCTGAAAGTGATTGAATGTTTAGAGATTTCAGAAAGCCAGCTATTGAAAAAGAAACATTTTAAATAGTCTTCAACCTTGAATTACAGGGTGCATTAAAATGGCTGTGCGTTTTCCATTCCCTTATGTTGTGAAAATGAAAGGAAATATGAAAGAGAATTTGATTTTCTTCCCACTTTCAAGGACAAAACTATAAAGTAGCTACAAAATTAATTAGAAAACCTGAGCATATAAAAGTTGCAACCCTGTCAATAGTGCAGAGGCAAGAATGCTACAAACTGTATTACAGCCTAGATGTTAATGAGGAGCAGGTGGCCTTGTGTCCCTTACTTCCCTCAGTATCCTCACATGCAACTGATCTGGTCATGGTGATGATTCAATTTCAAATACAACCAGCCTTTCTACTGCCTCCACTTCATCAACTTTTAACCTATCTAGTGTCTAAACTACCTCTTCCTGCACTATGATGTGGAAGTGCCAGTGTTGGACTGGGGTGGACAAGGTCAGAAATCATTTGACACCAGGTTATAGTCCAACAGGTATATTTGAAAACACAAGCTTTCGGAGTAGAAGGAGTAAGACTCCGAAAGCTTGTGTTTTCAAATAAATCTGTTGGACTATAACCTGGTATCGTGTGATTTATGACCTCTTCCTTCACTATGACTCGGGGAGTATTTTCTTCTTTAGTACAAATGTGCAAAGACTCTATTTTGTACCTCATCTATGCTGTAGTTTTTAATCCCCAATTGGCTGCATTATTCCTTTTACACACTTTCAGTATTCATATGTCCGTAGAAGACCTGTATGTCAGCTGCCAATCTCTTTGCAATCTCTTTGTTTGGTTACTTTGTTTCTGTTTTCACTTATCTTCTGATCTTTCTGTTCTGCCTAATTCTCACTTATAATATCAAGTTGATATGTCATTTTTCCCCATTTACTGCTTCATCTCTATCTCTTTTTATCTTGAAGTGGACACTTCTGGGGTTAGCCTGATCTCCCAAATAAAAACACAATCCTCACAGAGCTCAAAAAATAAGTCCTTAACCCCAAAACCAAAGAAAACAACCTTAAATGTAATAGTATTCGCCATGCTGTCCAGCCACTTTTAGTTCCCATTGGTTGCAGAAGGGCTCAAAACTATTGGCAGACAACATGTTTCCCCTATTGGTGTATTTGGATACAGGCATAATAACAGAGCAGAGGTAGGGCGCAAGAGCAACGAACTCACACTGGCTGCCTCCAGAAACTAACAAGGTACTAAAGTGCTATCATTTTGTGTAATTTAAGATGCAAATTTCCTTTAATAAGAGGAATTTTTTTTTTCTAGGCCTCAGCCTGAAAATGCAATGAGTAAATGGATTTCTTGTCATAAAAAGGGCAATCAATAAAATGTCCTTCCACCATCCTGTCAATTATATGATGCTGTGGAAATGGAATTGATCAATGATGATGAGAATAAATCCATCAATTAGTCCACAACTGAACCAGACATGATCCAAAAAATGAACCAGAGCAATGGAGAGTTTTAGAAACCACACGTCCAACATCACCCATTCCCCTAATGCATGCAGGTATTTTTAAATCAACCTGTTCAGAGACATTATTACACAGTTCAGGGGCAGGTGGGATTTAAAACCCTGCGTCACAAGTTGGGACACAACCACTGCCTCACAAGCACCATATCAGGTGTACAGATACTACCTAGGCCTAATCATCTTCAGCTTCATCAATAACATGCCATCCATCATAAGGTTAGAAATGCAGAGCTTTGCTGTTAATAACATTGCTCAGTCCTATTGATAATATCTCAGATACAGAAGCATGCCTGCATAGAGTGAGACCTGGACAACATTCAGGTTTATGCTAATAAATAACTCGTAACATACCTGCCACACAGTGCTAGATAATGATCATCTGCACGGAAAGAATCCAACTCTTGATACTCAATGACATTACCATTTTTGAATCCCTCAATTATAAATATCCTGGGAGTTACCATTGTCAAGAAACTGAGTTGGATCAGCCAAATAACTGTTGTGGTTACAGTAGCAGGTTGTATGGTAGAGATTCTGTGGCCAGTAATTCAGCTCCTGTCTCCTCAAAGCCTGTCCACGTGACACATGTCAAAAGTGTGAATGAATACTCCACATTATCTGCAATAGTTTGATTCAGGACACAAGTTTTGGAGCTTTCAGTCCTTTTGCCAGAATGTTGTCACAGTCCATATCCTTTGTGCAGTGCCTTCAGTTTCTTGATATCATGTGGAGTGAATCACCTCCTGATGTCCCAATTACCTGTGACAAAAAAAAATGTATTGGATGCCAGATAAATACTATGGCTATATGCGCAGGTCAGAGGCTAGGAATCCTGCAGAAAGTAACTCATCTCCTGACTCCCCAAAGCCTGTCCACCATTTTCAAGGCATAAGTCAGGAGCGAGATCAAGTATTCCTCAGTTTCCTGGATGAGTGCAGCTCCAACAACACTCAAGAAGGTTGACACTGTCCAGGACAATGCAACCCACCTGACTGGCACCACATCCACAAATGTTCAACTCCTTCACATTCGATGCATGGTGGCAGCACTGTGTATCATCTACAAAATGCATCGCAGAAATTCTGGTAAGCCCCTTAGACAGAACTTTCCAAATCCACAACTATTACCAACTAGAGAGGCAAGGGCAGCAGATACATGGAACACTACATTCTGCAGCCCCATAACACACACTAATCTGACTTGAACATTTCTGAGCATTTCTTCAGTTTTGCTGGATGAAAATCATCTTCAGCAGCCTTGTGGAGCAGACCGACACTAATGGACTATAATGGTTCTGGAATGAAATCACCACCAACTTCTCAAGAGAAATTAGGGATAAACAATAAATGTTGCCCCAGCCAGAGAACTCATCTCATGAACTTTAGAAGAAAAATCTACACACAACTGCAGACCTGTTCCTTTACTGCAGCGAGCTGATCAGGAAGATAATGACATAAACACTGGTAAAGAGTATTGTTATGTAAACTGTGGGATATATTTTATATATATATATTTTAATATGACTTGAGGCCTGCCTTTGGAATGAATGGAATTTTGTTTATCTTAGATTGTTTTGCAATTCAGCAAATAATCGGGCCGCAAGGTTTGTTGAAGAGTTCTGGAACTTGTGTTATTTTTAAGTTTAAGGGAAATGCCCATAGCTTAGCAAGGGAGATGTTTTCTTATTGTTTTTTCTTGAGTTTTAGGCAGTTTTGTGAAGTCTTTGCACGGGAGTGACTGTATTGACCAATGCTCCTGAGCATCCCTGAGCATACAGGGACTCTGCTGTGAGTATTGCATGAGTGGTGTTTTTAGATACTGAACCAGGGATGTGTTTTGGGTTATGTACAAAAGATTTTTTGTCTTTTTTTTCATTGTTTTCAGATTACTGGTGTTACACTTTCATTATGTATTTTAAAATCTCTGAATT